AAATCACGCTGCAGTACCAGAACAGAGGGAGGGTTAATCAGGCCACAAACCTACTCATCCTACCCACCCTTCAGTCGTGCACACATTCTTCCTCCATCTAAACCGGAAGCTATACTCCACAGATGAGCTAAGGTGTCGCCCTCCTCCATCCTCCCATGAAAGCCATGCTCCATAAATTCTTTTCCTGAATTTTAGCTATTTTTTTTTCCTCTAGTTGATGTCTGAGATGAGTATCCAGACCTAATCTTTTTGTCTCTCTACCTCCCACCCAGAGTCCAGCCCCTGGTTGAGGACCATCTAGTTTACCGCTGTATTTCCTGGTGGAAAGCCATGTGTCCTTCAGGGCTCTTCTTGGAAGGCCCGTTTCATCTTTGTGACTGCAGCTCTGCAGAACCTTGTCTGTCCTTACAGAAGTGTCAGCAGTTTGCACTTCCTGCTGCGGTACAGCCTGTGTGCTGTCCTCATCACCGTCTTGGAGCTTATTCATTTTTTATTTCTTAAATCCCCACAGTACTGTTTCCAACACAGTATGTGCTCAATAAATGTTTATTGCCTTGAAATGAGCAGAAAGGAGCTGGTGGTTGACTTTGGGAGACGGTTGAATGTTGATTTAGAGGCCCGCAAAGGTTCACAATCCCTCAGCTTTCCTTAGTACCTTTGTTGAGTGGGTCTGGGTTGGTTTTGGGAGTAAAGAATAGCTATATTGATCAGAGGCTTGAAGAAGACCTCTCTTCCCGCTCCTAAGCCCTGGGAGTCTTTTTGACAGGTCACCATTGAACTTTTCTGTGAATTTTCTTCTTTTCTACTTTCCTAATCTCTTTCAAAACCCTGGCAAAGTTAAGGCTTTTAACTTTTAATTTTAACATGGCTTAAATGTCATGTATCTTATTACACAAATTAAAATTAACTGAAAGGAACAAAAGTAGCCCTGAAGGTTCCTGTGAGTTACCAGAGGAAGGTTAAAAATTCAAAGCATTTTAGCTCATCAACAAGAAAAGAGATGTCTGTTAACATGGCCTTTTAATACCACGGTGATAGCAGAGTATGAAGAAGAAATTAGAGTTCGATTGGGAAAGAACACGACTATGGAGCCGAAATGTGCTACTCCAGTTGGCATTTAAACACTTCCCATGGAGCAAGTGTCGGGAGCTGGGAGTCAAAGCAATCGCTACACTCATACACCAAGCAAGAGCAAACCACAGGCGCCTATCATAGTCCCTACTACTCCTATCGCGTGATAGCCTGGCTCGCTACAAGGTCAAGCGAGGGGTTGGTTCACTAAGGATACCAGTTCAATCCTCAGTGTCTTTGGAGCATCTAGAGAAATCCATCTGGATTAGAGTCCAGTGCACTGTTGTGCGAGGAGACGGCCCAGTACACCTGATGAGAAGCATCACACAGACTGCTTCTTGGCGCTCTCACATTCAACGTATAGTGAGTGCACACCACTTAGGATACATCTGGTTGCATGAAATGTTTGACTTTCAGAATTAAAGTAGGAATTTCTTCTTTACATATTACTTGAGACAGCTAACTTAAGACCATTTCTATGAGAGGAGGCCTTCTTCCTGTATTTATTATTATTATTTAATTATTTGTATTATTAGTGATCAGACCTGGAACATTCTAGGCAAGCATAAGCATCCTATTGTCAAGCCACACCCCTAAGCCCAACTTCCCTCTACATATGTATAATATGTATAATATATATATATTTCGTGGGTCTGGGTCTTACTAAGTTGCTCAGGCTAATCTTGAAATCATATTTGAGCCCAGACAAGCCTTATGATCCTCCTGTCTCAGCCTCCCAAGTAGGTTGGATTACAGGCCTGTGTCACCAGAACTGGTTTACTATTATTATTTATAAGCATATACTAACTGTATAAAATAACAGGCTTCATTACGAATGACATTCCAATACTTCAATGTAGTTCATTTCCTTTTTATCTTCGGTGAAGGTTTTTTTGTAGCAAAGATAGGGATATAGACTAAAAGCCTGCTCAATGAAGTTACAAGCCTAGAGGTTTCCCAAATTTAAAAATCTTCTAAAATTCCCCCTTCCCCCCCCCAAAAAAAAAAACGAGGGAAGGGGAAGGTTATGTATCTGTGACAAAATATAAAGGAGATAAAATATACTGGATTCTGTAGGATCATCTCTGCTGCAGGTTCAACCCCAAGTTTTGCATTCGTTATAGAAAGAGCTCTCTGTACTGTAAAGGAAAATGAAGAAAGAGCAATGATTGTACAGAATATGGTAAAGTGAATTTTACTGGTTGCTGGTATTCCTTCCGAGATGAGAGACCTTTTCCAATCACACAGCACCCCTCCTCCTGGGTGAGGCACACCTGCTGTGCTTAGTCACAGTGGCTGACAGGAGTAGGTGACAGCCCTTGGGTGAACTGAGGTCTCTTTCTGAACAGGTAAAAACGAGTCATTGGAAATGTCACCTAACGTTAGCCAATATTAAATAACTATATTGGGGTGCTTTAAAAGAAGATTTGGGTTCAAACTACTTATACAAGTGAACAGCTTACAAGTCGCAATTGCATTTTTTTTAACGTAAGCATAATGCTCTTATACAACGTTCTCGTTCACAATTCTCACTTCTGTGACATTTAATATAAAGAACAAAGCATTTCTAGGACGCTCATTTTAATTTCAAAGGTTAGGGTGTTTTGCGGAAAGCATTTGGTGCTTGGAGGATTTAACAATAGCGGGAGACTGTGCGCGGTGGGAGGGAACCTTTCAGAGGAGACACTCGGCTCCGCTTCAAACCAGAGTTTTAAGCTAGGCGTTAATCTAGACAAAAACTTTTTAACTCTGTAAACGGGCAGAGAATCTTGCCGTTTGGTGTCTGTGAAAGCCCCGGTGGTCCACCAGGCTGCTTGTCATCTTCTAGGTGCCCTTCAGCTGCCGGTAAAGCATCCCAGTGTGCTGTGAACTGCCCACATCACACTCATGTGGGAGGTGGAGGCTGGGGCAGGGGAGACAAGATTAGGCCTAAAGAAAGCACCTTTGACAGGGATTGTGGTGGCCAATTTTTGTACCTCCTTTGTGCACAGACTAGAAAATACGCAGCGTGTCTCGTTATGAATTGTGAAAGCACTGGACCGCACTTAGCCAATTTGTAGTCTAGCTGGATAGTGGGATTTCCCTCCTACCTAAGTTCTGCCCTATCAACAGGCCCAAAACAGTTTCTTTATTAACCAATGAAAGCAACACAAAGACAGAAGGACCTCCTACACCAGCTGACCACTGTGTGGATGGACCACATTTTCACCATCCAGCCATCTGCTAATGGACATCTAGGTTGTCTCCAATTTCCAGCTCTTATTTACAGAGCAGCACTGAACATGAGCGAGTGTTTCTGTAGTAGGACATGGAGTCCTTTGGGGAGATGCCCAAGAGTGATAGAGCATGATCTTGAGGTAGATCTATTCCCGGCTTCCTGAGGAACCACCACACTGATTTTCATAGTCAGCCCCTTATTTTTAAATTTTATTTATTGATGTGTATGTGTGTGTGCGTGCGTGCATATGTATACTATGTGTGGACACATGTGCCACGGAGTGCTTGTGGAGGCCAGAGAACAGCTGCCAGGCATTAGTGTCCTCCTCCTACTGTGGCTCCCAGGATGGAACTCTGGTCATTAGCATCCTTGGCAAGTGCTTTTACCCACCTCACTGGTTCTGTTTACTTGTTTCTAGTCGGCAAATAAATGTGGATATTGAGGGGGTACGATGGTAATTTGATAGGTGTATGCCTTGTGGAAAGAGTCAGCCTAGCTAATTAACATAGCTAGCCTCTCACTGGCTTATCATGGGAGCTCCGGTTTCAGCAGGAGCCCCAGGTCTCCTAACTCACACACTGGATTCAAGTAATTTTTCTGCTATATAAAAGTTTTATCCCAGCATTTCTTCTGGGACCCAAGGTTTAATTAAGAAATGGAAGCAATGGATATTTTTCATAAAGTAATAGTATGAACTTTGGTTTTTAAATATATTTCCCCTTTTAAATTGAGAATTTCATGCACACATATAATGTGTTTTGATCAAATCTACCTCCTCATTCCCTCCTCTCCCACTCCTCCCTTATTCTCCCCCCACTTCTCCTTCCCAAATTTATGTGCTCTTTTTAAAAACCCACGGAGCCCACTTAGCGATACCTACACATGAATGCAGGTAGGACCCTCTATCGGGAGTATGGCTAGCCTCTCAGGGCCCGAGTTTCTGGAGAAAACTGACCCTCTTTCTCCCACCATTCGTCAATTGCTAATAGCTCCTCAATGAGGGTTGCAACTCTATAGCCGGTCCCCAATCCACGCTGGGATTTTGTCCAACTCCATCTTGTACAGGCTTGTGTTTGTAGTCACAATTGCTGTAGGCTCGCTCACGTGTGCAATGGCCTGTCACGTCCAGCAAGTAATGTTTCTCTGCAGACATCCACTCCCTCTGTCTTTCACAGTCTTACAGCCCTTGGCCTGTGAAGGTCCTTGAGCCTCGGTGAGCGGATTGTGACCTTGAACTCTTTATCTTCCCCGCTGCTGTCTCCTGGTGTCTTTTTACCTCCACCATCCCAGTGCTGGGATAGCATATGTGCGCCACCACACCTGGTGTGAGCTGTGCTAGGGCTCGAACTTAGGATCTCATGCTTGCCAATCAAGCACCCTATCCACTGAGCCATGTCACCAGTGTACTTTGACCATCGTTCCACTTCTTTACTAAACACGAATCTTTTCCACACACCCAGAGTCCTCTCAGGCTTTTATCAGTAGTAAAACTTGATGGGGTTCATAACCAGGACTCTCCCTTCCAACCTTCAGTTGGGATTCTGGTGGCTGCCCTTGGAGGGATGACTTGGTTTCTGGGGCTGTAACAACAGTCCCCGGAATGAGCTCTGTTACTGGGACATGATTCTGTTTCTTCTGCACTGGTATCTCTCAAGGCTGGCTTCCCCCTACCAGACGTTCAGTAAGTTCCTTGTGTTTCCTCCAATTTTAGGTTACCACACTTGTCAACTGTCCGCAGAACCCTTCCAACAGGAAAAAGGGACGCTCTAAGAGAGCCAGAGTTCTCCTGGCTTCTGTGGAGGAAGCAACTTGGAACCTGTTAGACAAGGGGGAGAAGATCGCCAAGGAAGCAAGGGCTTTAAAGGAAGAGCTCACAGCTGCGCTCCAGGAAGTTCGCAGAGAGAGTGAGTATCCGGAAGGAAGACAGGAGCAGCCTGCCTCTCCTCAGGGTGTTAGCTGCTGCAGTGGATTTGTGGGTGTTTTGTTTTGCAGGCTCGAGTCTATTAGTCTTGCACACAGCTGTGAAGAGCGAGCTGTGGGAGGCAGAGTGGCCCATTAGGCAGCTCCAGGGTGGAGTCCCAGCCCTGGCTCTTCTCTGGTTACGGAGTCTCTGAATACAGCTCCCCACCTCCAACAACACTGCACTGCAGCTTCTCCATAATAGCCGGAGAGGTTTAATGAAATGAGAGATGCCTTTGCCCCCACACAATGGATTGTAAAGTTGTTTTTTTTTGTTTTTGTTTTTGTTTTTTTTTTTTTTTTTTTTTTTTTTTTTTTTTATTAGTGTTTTCTGTTTTTTTTTTTTTTTATAAACAGATTTTTAACTCTGTGTGCATGTGCGTACTACAGAGGCCAGAAAAAGGCATCAGATCCCCTGTTACAGGTGGTTGTAAGCAGCCCGACACAGGTTTTGGGAGTCAAACTCCAGTCCCTCTGCAACAGCAGTTTACACACTTAACTGTTAAGCCATCTCTCCAGTCCATTTTTGTGTTTTTGAGGCAAGGTCTNCCCCCCCATTTTTGGTTAAGGCTTTGTGAAAACCACACATACTCCATGCTGTGCCTTGCCTATGTTACATAATAAAAGCACATATTCTGCCTTTTAATGTTTTACTATGATAACACAACAATCAACTCCCCCCTCTGCCCTGCCCGAAGATTACAAGTCTCATCTTCAGGATATTTAAAACAAGATTTAAAAAATTTTAATTTGTGCCTATGAAGGTCCATTTGTTCAGTTGCTCTTCACAGGCATACATGAAGGCCAGAGGTGGATGCTGGAATGTCTGTCTGTCTGTGTATGTATGTATGTATGTATGCATCTATCTATCTATCTATCTATCTATCTATCTATCTATCTATCTATCTATCATCTATCTATCTATCATCTACCTATCTATCATCCATCATCTATCTATCCATCATTTATCTGTCTGTCTGTGTGTCTGTCTATCCATCCATCCATCCATCCATCCATCCATCCATCCATCCATCCATCCACCCATCTGTCTATCTATCTGTTTGTCTGTCTGCCTATATCTATGTATATATGATCTATTTATTTACTTGAGACAGGGTCTCTCACTGAATCTGGACCTTGTAGTTTTGGCTAGCTGCCTATGGAGCCCACGGGAACTGCCTGTCTCAGCCTTCCAGTGCTAGGGTGATAGAGTGCATTCCACACCCAAGGTATTTTTTCCCTTTTCACATGAGTGCTAGGGATCGTAATTCAGGTCCTCATGTTTGCTCTGGAACCACTATATCCATGGATCCATTTTCTAGTCCTGAAAGATATCTTAAAAAGAACTATTTGATGATTTTATATTTATTACTTTTGCTGAAACTATTTTGCGAGGGAAAACAAACTAGAACTTTTTTGTTCAACTTCATAAAAAATGTCTGAGTTGTTTAAATGTTTTTCTCCCCTAAACCCTAGTACAATTTTAAGAAAATCAGAAATAGCAGGATATGGTGGTACTGTGACTTCAGTACTCAGGAGGCTGTGGTTGAAGGGTGGCAAGTTATTGGTCAGCCTGAGCTATCTCGTGGACACCCTTGGCACGTGCGTGTGTGCATGAGAGAGAGAGAGAGAGAGAGAGAGAGAGAGAGAGAAAGATGGTATTTCATAATAAAAATAAACATAACAGCCAGTCAACTTTAAACCAAATACAGATCTAGGGGATTATGTTTATATTGTAATTTTTGGTTTCGTACCTCTTAAAGTCAATTCTGTTGTGTACATCTGAGGTGCACAGCACAGTGTCATGGAATTCATGTTGCAAACAGTTTCTACAGTGGGGTACGTGGGTGTAGACCTCCTCTCACATGATTAATCCCCACCTTTTGGTGACAAAACACTTAATGCCCTGGTTCAAGATGGTTCCTTACTGGGCTTCACTGCAGCCCCACCGTTCATTAGAGCCCCAGCTCCACTCTCCCCCCTTTGACACCTCTGCCCTTCACCGTCCCCCATCCCCTCACTGTCCCCATCTTCTCACCCTGTCATGGTAATCACTGTATTTGGCTTTTCTCCCATTTTTCCTTTTAAAATTATGTTTGTTAATTATTATTGTATGTGCATGTGGAGTGTCTATGTGCGTGCGTGCATGCGTATGTGTGTATGCACACAGCATGTGTGTGCGACTCAGAGGACACCTTTTGGGGGTTGGTTCTTGTCTTCCACTGTGGGATCTGGGACTCTAACTCAGGTGAAGGCATGCAGGACAACCCGTTTTTACCTGCTGAGCCGTCGCACTGGAACTCTAGGGCTGGCTTATTTCACTAGCAAACACCCTCCGTTTTTAGGCTGTGGCAAATGACAGGACTGCTTCTTCTAAAACAAAGATGAATCGAAGCCACGCCATATATTTCAGTTTCTTTATCCACCCTCCTATCGGTAAAAAGGAAATTCTCAGAGAAGTCGGGGTTTTAGGGTTGTGCAGTAAATGATGCATGGTTTTCTATTATAGCATGGAATACATATATCTAATATATATCTATATGTATGCGTGCCATATGTGGCACATACAACAGACACACTTGCTGAAGTGCTTTATTCTGATTCTTTTGACAAGTGGAAGGGAACCACCACCCCTTTAGGGAGGGAGGGAAGCATGGACTAGCACGTTTCTGGAATCCAAGGAATGCCTACTGTGTGGAACGCAGAAAGCCACAGTGAGGACATTGTGCCCCCAACTTGGAAGGAATGTTAGCTCCATGGTGGAGCCGAAACAACGAAGAATGGATTACGATCTAACTGACTTCGTGTGACGCTGGAAGCATATTTTAAACAGCCTCTGCCTTCTTCTACTAAATGCCCCTTGTCTAGTGGCATATGAAGGGCTAATGAAAAGCAACCAGTCGCTGTGAGGTGTTGGGAAAAGTGAAAACAGGATTAGAAGTGGAGGGTGGTTTTATTGATGCGGTTATTGACTTATTTTCAAGAAGACCTTTGAGAGTGGTTCATAAAATTAACAGAGACCTAGAGTAGTTTTAGTCTAATTATGAGATTCTGTCCTTCCCTGTTTTATTGCCTCCAGTGGATTTACTTATGAGTCGAAAGCGATAAAAAGGAGAACATCTGTGTTCCCTGGAGAGTGTGCCTGCAGAAGGTGGAGCAAGGATAGTGCAGGGCGCAGATGAAGAAAGGGGATACATGGAGGGGGAGGGAGGGCAGAGATGCAGCCAAAGGGTCCACGAGGCCGAGACTGCTCCCAGTCCCTCTTCATCTTACACTGTAAGATGTAGATGTACATGTACTCGTACACCTGGACACAAGCAAGGAACTAAATCTGAAATTTTATTCAAATAGTTTCTAGATTATTTACAGACGGACATAGATATTAGCTAAGAACTTACCTGTATCGTGCATACTCCCTTTGAATAGCCACGACTTCCCTGCAGTCTGCAGATCTTGCGTCTAAGCCACATACATAATTGTTACTTAGTGGTTTGTTGAAGAATAACATATATTCATAAAGGTACATACTCTATTGGGATCTCCTCAATATATTTTCACGTTCTGCACTCAGGTTCATGTAACCTCCGTGCAGATCAAGAACTAAAACATTACTAAGGGTCGGGGGTGTGGTGGCACAGTGCCACCACTCGGGGGCAGAGGCCGAGGTCCACCTGCCTCTGCCTCTCTGCCTCTGGCGTCCATTGTGAGTTCTGGGCCAGAGGCAGATGGATCTCTGTGAGTCTGAGTTCTGCCTGGTCTACATTGTGAGCTCTGGGCCAGTCAAGCATACATAGTGCCCTGTTTCAAAACAAGCAAGCAAGCAAATATTCAGTGGTTAAGGACACTGAATGCTGCTACAGAGGACCCACATTCAAATTCCAGCACCAACTTGACAGCTCACAACCATCTGTTACTACAGTTCTAGGGGACTGTGCCCTCTCCTGCCCTCTGTTGGTACTTCATTCATGTGGTGCATGCGTACACTCAGACCCACAGGTCCACATAAATATATAAAAAGGACATTCAAGAACAGAACAGAAACAACAAAGGAACATTGCTAAAATCCCATAAGTAGCCCTTATGCCTCAAACAGTAACTATACTCTCACAAACAAAATATCCCCACAGATGTTCTTAATCTTAATGAATCAAACTTTTTGGCTTGCCTCTTTATGTATAGATTTTTTTAAAAAGATTTTATTTATTTATTAAGTATACAGTGTTCTGCCAGAAGAGGGCACCAGATCCCATTATAGATGGTTGTGAGCCACCATGTGGTTGCTGGGAATTGAATTCAGGACCTCTGGAAGAGCAACCAGTGCTCTTAACCTCTGAGCCATCTCTTCAGCCCCCTATAGATTTTTTTTATGTCTGTAAAAACTTGTTTAAGAGTACTGTAAACTTGAGAAGAGTCTCTCTAAAGTTACCATTTAGATCATATATACAACAATTGCCTTAGCGTCCTTGTTTTTTAACTGTGCTATCTGACCACATGGATTCTTTGTTTTCCGAGACAGGGTTTCTCTGTGGTTTTGGAGCCAGTCCTGGAACTAGCTCATGTAGACCAGGCTGGTCTCGAACTCACAGAGGTCCGCCTGCCTCTTGACCACATGGATTCTGTTTTTACTGACCGATATTGCTTTATGTCTGAGAAACACCTTTTTTTTTTTTTTGTCTGTGAATAGTGGTTTTGATTATACACACCTGGCAGTCTGCTGAGTCAACTAGAGGGTCTGTATTCTTCTATCTTACCCCGGAGACTGTTAAGTTTTGCTTCAGCGAATGGTTGATAACTAAGCAGACACCAGAGGGTTCGTTTAACCTTTTAAAAAGGTTAAGTCTGTTTAATTTCCCCATCAGTCTTACAGAGGACTCTTAGTCTTCAGGATATAGTCTTTAGTTTCATAGTATGGGTTCTGAGGCATTTAAAAGGATTATTTGATGTG